ATCTTCCTTTATGTCCACGCCATCTGTCGGTGGTTTTATGAATTCTACAATATAATACATCCTTCATCTCCCTATGAGTTTGGTTTCCCAGATTTCTCCTTTATTTATGGGAAAACAAATTTTTCTATTTATCCTTCTTTCAAACATTCCAAGGGCCTTAATTTCTTCTGAAGTCACTGTCCACGAACACTAGGGTTCCGATTGTCTAAAATCGATATTAAGTTACACCACTTCACATTTCTTTATTTTTTAAGTAATATGAATATTGTGTATATTTTTACATTCGGAAGAGATAAAGCGATAAAACAAATGCTTAAAATTACTTCTAATATACATCGTAAACGATCAGAATCTTAGTGTCTAACAACTGGGGAATTTGGGGGGGGGGGGGTTAAATCACGACAACCGAATTAGCTTTCAAACGACTTGAAATGAGCGCACCCTGCTCGTACTGACATTTCTGGTGACATCGTAGAAGCAGTCTCGAGCTATTTTGACGACTGGGTTTGTCGTCGTTTCTTTGTGGTAAAACAAAATCTCATCTTTCTCTTCTGTGTACCCTTGTGTTCTTAATCCTTAATTTGAAAGTCTGTTCTTCTGAATCTGCAGTCTTGCAAAACAATGGGCTTGGCCGGGAATAAATTATGTGTTATGTTAACCACGACTGGGTTAATGACACTTTCTGGTGCGGTATTGCTCAGGTCCTAGGCAGTTAGACGGCGTAAAGTCTTCTTTCAGCCCAGGCTTAAGATCTGATAACCTGATTCTGTTTTTGATTTTATCTCGGAAACATGCCTTGAGTTCCCCATTCGATTACAGATGTCACATTTTTCCATTACTCTGTATGTATCTTAACTAATTTCAAGTTCCTAGAATTATGTATTTGTGGTAATATGTTGTACTTATTCATTAAAATACTTAAAGTACCGTACAAAATATCGTGAATAAATAAATACGTCTGCTAACTGAAAGAATGGCATTCGAAAGATTGGTAGTTCCCCAGAGACATGGAACAATTACCCAGTATATCGGGTCAACTTAGTCAAATGTGATTTTGCAATTTTTTTAAATATCATACGTAGGTCAGAAATCAATACAAAATTCTCAGTGTGTTGCCTTCATAATGAAGTTTTTGTAAATGACGTTCATGAAGCAAAACATTTAATCTAACCCTAATACCATGAAGATTGTTTCGGAACTCGAAACATGTGGATTTAATGCAAGACGCAAAGTGAAACTGCTATGTGTTAATGGAGAGTAATATTTTGGATAAAATTAAACGTCTTTGAAATAATTAATTTCAAGAAGACATATTACGCAGAAAATAATGTGGAGAAATATTTTTTCCTTCTTCGCAGCAAAAAATGTTTTTTGTAGCTCCTGCATCAATTCCCAGTTTTCTACTTTATTTTCGTAAGGAATATAATTAAAATTAATGTGGTCTTCGTGGTTGTTATCAACTGAAAACTACTGATTTTCCCAATCCAATATTCTTTTACGTTGTCTTAGCATTTAATTCTTAGCACCTAAACGACCAGTTGTTCAGCTCGCGTGCGGGACCGGGTCAGGTAAGTGCTGAGTGCTAAGTTCCAAGAAACGTAAAAAAACGTTTGAACAGGCTACCATTCGGATAACGTATCTTCTCCTTTAATTTGTCTCTGTGTTTGTGGGCGTAATCGCTTCCATCGATAGGTTCTTGATGACACAGGTCGACATGTGGGGCCTATTAAAATTCATGTTTGACACCTGGTTCATGCAATTTAAAATATTAATAGTGAAAACAAACCCTCTTTCAACGTCCATTAGTATAATCTACACTCAAGACAAATTTTACCACATTTCGCAGACACAGTTACAGAAAATATGTAGCTCAACATGAGATGACGTAACTCACGGAGGAATGCGTCTTCTACAATAAATAATTTATTAATATAAATTTAAAAGTTATCTAATTTGAATGTAAGTGCATTTATGTAAATAAATAGTCCATTGTCTGAAATATATATATATATATATATATACTTCTTATGGCGTTCTAAAATATCTGAGATTTCGGTGTAGAATAAGTATAAAACAATTATCTTTGTGAGTCGTAAAACGTGTTGACTTAAAAATATCCATGTCTGATGGACTGGATTTGTCTTTGGGTAGAATGGAAAACTGTTTGAAACTAAGGGCACAGGCTTCCACCAAAATATCGTTGCTTATAATTTGTTTCTAGACAACCTTAACAAAAATTCATCCAATCGGAATTCATAGCACGATTGCCACACCATATTTCAGAACAGTTCCCCCATGATCTTTCTTTCACCCATGCACGTAGAACCCCGGCCAACGACCTATTATAACGTAATACATTTTATCACCAAAGTGGAGGGAGAGGTTATGACTATTTTAAAACGCTGTCAAATAACTTGTGTTCTGCGCTAGCTATGTTTGGTACACTTCATTAAACCACTACCTTCGGTCAGAATAATAAATTTAGTCATACACTTCCTTTGGAGAGATAAACGTGTCTTGTTTGAGACATGCACCCATAACAATATTTCCCTCTTTTAGCAATATATTTTCGAAAAATTTCTGTCCCACAAAAAATAGTTCTGGAGAGGCTCTGCTGGACGTAAATCAGACAGAACCCAAAATCAAATTAATTTTGTGTGGGAATTCTGACTCGTGAACAGTCGAGTATGAGGAAAGCTGTCTTCTGGGATGTTTTTGGAGCTGTTTACTCACTCCGTCAGCAGATGGTCAAACACGCCAAGAGACAGCCATTTCTAAACTTCCACCAAAAATGGGAACACGAGGCGGATAGGTGCCATTATACTTGAAACTGGCACAACATTTTGATGAAAGCGGAAGATTATGGCGATGCTGATGTGGTGAATGTCAGAATCCTCCTGACCAAGACATTACAACTGCTTACCTGCTTTCAACATACCACCCTCCTCTCAAAGATTTTTCGCGCGTTTTATTTAAGGCCCTAAGTAAGCAGTAAGAACCTCTGAAACGTCGGTGAGTTTCTATGACACTACAAGGCGCAGCATCCGCAAGATCGTGGTTATGTCGACCGGAAATCATTCACTTCCTTGTGCTTTTAGAAAGTAACGGTTTGTAATTATACAGTCCTGAACTAACAAAGAAATAAACTCACCAATTATCTTCCTTGTCATTGTAATATTTGACACTGAATTTGACCGCTCTTTGATGTTGACAGATGACGAAGATCATATCGTTGATCACTTCTGCGTTTAAGAAATATGAATTTACGCCCATTCCAGGAATCTCGTTCTACGTGTCTCCTACTGGGTCGTACTTTTCGGTACCGACCTTATATGATTGGTTGTGTCCTCCTGCACACACACATATACACACACATCTTACTTAGCAGGTCAGAGTATATAAAAAAAAGCTTAAGATTTCTATCTTCTGGGTTGTGGCGTTGTGTAGTCTGGTCGATATTAGCCAGCGTTTCAGAAGTCATACTGCCTCCGTCATATTCATCGACCAGACTACACAACGCAAGAACCCAGAAGACTGAAGTCTCCATACTCACCGCTGTGAAAACCTCAAATCTACCTTACTTTATATTATCTACTAGAGCAGGGCGCTCCTTTCGGAGCTCCTAGGGAGGGTTGCTCAAGTTTGTAAAACGCCACCAACCTTGTGTAAGAAACTAAACTA